CCTTCTGCCTCAGCCTCCCGAGTAGCTGGGACTACAGGCATGCGCCACCATGCCCGGCTAATTTTTCTATATATTTTTAGTTGTCCGATTAATTTTTTTCTATTTTTAGTAGAGACGGGGTCTCCCTCTTGCTCAGGCCGGTTTTGAACTCCTGAGCTCAAACAATCCACCTGCCTCAGCCTCCCAGAGTGCTAGGATTACAGGCGTGAGCCACTGCGCTCAGTCAGTATCATGTATTTTCACCAAGAAAACATAAGGTCCATTTCCAACATCTGGGAATACTGGTTACTGAACAGAGTCAATACGATTAGAAAAGATTCAAAGAGGGGGAAGAAATCTGATAAATTCCAAATTCCTCCAGGGCACACTGTAAGATTTAACCTTGTGCTCAGATACGAGCATCAACTAAAAAGACTTATTGAACTGAATTAAAGGAGATACAGGTTTTCAAGAGGGTAGAGAAAATATGGAAGAACAAGAAAAGGGGACATCACTGAGCAAATTGGTTTAACCAGTCTGGATTTCACTCAACTCGGTAAAGGGAAGGACATGGAGTGCTATCATGTCTTCCACATCTAAAAATTTCACAAAAGCTAAAGAGAAAAGGCTTTTCACTAAATTGTCAAGGTGGCAAATCCAGGCAAAATAAGTACTTTATGCAATGATTAGCTTAAAATATGAAATGTTTTTTTCTCCTGTAGGCTAGCACATTCCTATATATATTTTAAGCTAATCATTAAACTGAGAATGACACCTTGGTACTTCCAAGTTGGTAAAGGAGAAGAGTCAGGATTTCAAAGATTTCCACCTTGCTCTGCCACCTGTAAGCACTGTGACCTTAAATAATTTTCCTCAGCTGAGAAATACCACCATCTCCCTACATTACCTCAGAGAATCAAATGAGACAACATACATAAAAGTGCTCGATCAATTGTCAAATACTACACCACTGAAAGGTGTTCAAATGCACCTCAATTCCTTCAACATGTTCCAAAGACAACCATAACCCTTAGATTCCTTGTAATGATAGAGATGAATTCCTGGGGTGTGACATGGACGTCCAGAGGTAGAAGTTCAAAAAATGTTTTGCAGAATGTAAGGTCATGTCAGAAAAAAGAAACTTATCCTAAAATGTAAAATCAATGCTACAAGATGTTACACAGGTCACCGCTGCTCTTATATGTCCATTACAAATACAAGTAGACTTGCATGACCCTGATATTCCCCTCCAAACAAGTCTAAAAAAGAAACAAACTTCAGCCACTAGTGAGCATTATTTTAATAGCAACTCCTAGTAGTTGTAGTTATCTTGGGGGGTGGGGGAGAGCTGAACCCTACCATAGATGAACCCTACCATAGAAGTTATCAAAATTCAACCAAAATAGAAATTCCGTAAGAGCAGGGAACTTAGCATATACTTTGCTCTAAGTAAAAAATGTTCACTGAATAGGAAAAAAAAAGGTCAAGAAGGATGTCTGGGTGCCCACCCCGGCTTCTTCTCCAACACGTGGGCGCGTGAGCTCCCCACCCCCATCTAAGTCTAATAATTCCAAACTTCAAACTTAACACTTGTACCTTAGAAGAGTATATGGCCCAGGTCACATTCTAAAAAGCGAAGAGCATAAAAAGTAAAAGGACATAAAAGAGCACCCAACACAAGGCGCAAAAAAGCTTTCCATCTGGGTTCCAGCGCATGCTTTTAAGGCACACCCGTCTCCACTACCCTGGTCTCTCCTACAGCGCACGCGCACCGCTGCCTTCCCCCGCCCCTACACCGACTCGCGCTCGCGTTCTAACTGCCCCCCCCTTATTCCCCTGCCCCCACTCCTGTCCGCAACGGCCTCGCGCCTCGGAGACCTTAATGTGCACTCGTCCGCGCGCCAACTGCCTCCTTCCTTTCTCCACGCGGGCACACTGCTTCACGTCTATGAAAAGGCCTCGCGCCTCCCGCAGGTCTTTCTGCGCCTCCTCCTCACTCCAATTCAAGCCAGAGTCCACCATTATTGCCTACTCCAACCTCGCGCATACGGGGTGAAAAGGGTGTGGGGGGGGAGGGGAAGGACACCTTCCCCTCCCCCCCAAACATCCCGAGGCGATAACCTAACATGGCCCCACCGCCAGCCTGCCGCAGTCCCCAAGTCGGAAGGGGACCGATGCTGCCCACTGCCCGACTCCAGGGAATCAGTGGATCAGGCTCGGAGGGTGGTTTCGGAGCCCGGTCCTTGGCCGCGCTCAGCCGCTCGCTCACCTGAGGCCGCCATGTTGGGAGAGGGAGAGAGAACGCAAAGGACCCGGATGGAGCAATCACGTGATTATAGCGGGCGCGTCGGACTAGGAGACGCGAAACTGGGAGGGGGCGGGGAGGTGAGGAAGGAGACAGGAGGCGGGGCGGCGCTGCTCTAGGTTCGTAAAGCAGCGCGGGGAGGTGGCGCGGCGTCCGACGGGAAGACCTGTGCGACATGTGGCCAAAGGGGTGGGGCCTGGGCTGTCGCGAAACTCCTCGCGCTTTACGTAGGGCTGCGCGCGGACTTGGGCCGTGCCTGGGGCGGGGTCTCGTGATGCGCAGACTTCCTGCTAGTGGGGGAAGCGGGAAGTGGGTGCGTTTGCTGGTCTCACTTTTCTCGCTTGGACTCGAGGTGGGCTGGGAAAGGGGGTATTCTGAGTTTCGGTGTTTTTGTGTTTTGTTTTATTTTGGAGACTGGGTCATGCTCTGTTGCCTGGGCTTGAGTGCGGTGGCATCATCATAGTTCACATCAACCATCCTCCTGCCTCAGCTTCCCGAGTACCTGGGACTACTGGCGAGCGCCACCACGCCAGGCTTATTTTTGTGTTTTTTGTAGAGACGGGGGTCTCGCTCTTGCTCAGTCTGGTCGCCAACTCCTGGCCTCAAACCGTGCTCCTGCCTTGGCCTCCCAAAGTACTAGGATTATAGGCGTGAGTCACCGCGCCCGGCTTTAGTTTCTTTTTTAATCACCTGTGTTGCAGAAGAGGAAAAAAAAAAAAAAAACAACTTTTTTGTAAAGGCAGAATAAACCCGGCATGTAAGAATGGTTTTAATTAGGCGTGTTCAGAAAGAACGAGAGGGTAACATATATTGAACACTTAATTGCCATGGGCTTTTACCTAGTTCAAGGCTCTAATTTACTGACTAGGTTTGGTCAAACTCAGGCCCTTATGATTTAAGAGCCGAGGGCTATCTAGCTAATGCTCCATTTCATTCATTTAAATGAAGACTTTTGTTGAGCACCAATGCTGTGCCAGGCACTGTTAATAGACACTTGTGGGTACAACACAAAGCAAAATTGCCCCAAAGGAGATTATATTTTAGTGAGGGAAGGACAGCAACGAATAAATAAAATATTGGAAATAATAAGCAGCAGATAACTAAAGACGATACAATAAAATGTGATTGGGTGCAACTTTAGATTGTCTGATCAAAGAAGGTCTCTGGGAAAGTGACATTTAGACTGCGATCTAAATTACAAGCAGCCAGCAGCCCTGGAAATGTTTTCCAAAGAGGTTTAGGAGAAGACTGGATGCACAGCTGGAGCAAAGGCTCCAGGGCTGGAACATCTTTGCAAGTTGAGGAATTTAAAGGTGGGTTGCTGGGAGTATCGTGCGGGAGGGGGAAGAGTGGTACAAAATGAAGTTTGAGGCCAGGCGTTGTGGCTCACGCCTGTAATCCTAGCACTCTGGGAGGCCGAGGCGGGAGGATTACTTGAGCTCAGGAGTTCTGAGACCAGCCTGAGCAAGAGCGAGACCCCCGTCTCTCCTAAAAATAGAAAGAAATTGGCCAAACAACTAAAAATAGAAAAAATTAGCCGGGTATGGTGGCGCGTGCCTGTAGTCCCAGCTACTTGGGAGGCTGAGGCAGGAGGATTGCTTGAGCCCAGGAGTTTGAGGTTGTGAGCTAGGCTGATGCCATGGCACTCTAGCCCGGGCAACAGAGTGAGACTCTGTCTCAAAAAAAAAAAAAAAAAAGATTTATGTACTCTTTGTAAGTCACACTTTAATTAGAAAAAAATATTATTCAAGCTACTAAATGGAGAGTGGATTATACAGATACAATAATGGAAGAGAAGTTCCAGTGTGAAAGTTGTTTCTGGCTCCAGGTACAATGCCTCATGCCTGTAACCCCAGCACTTTGGGAGGCCGATGTGGAGAGCTGCTTGAGGTCAAGAGTTTGAGACCAACCTGGCCAATATAGTAAGACCCCATCTGGGCATGGTGGCACACACCTGTAGTCCCAGCTACTCTGGGGGCAGGGCAGGAGGATTGCTTGAGCCTAGGAATTTTCAAGGCTGCAGTGAGCTATGATTGTGCCACTATACTCCATCTGAGAGAGAGCAAGACCCTGTACCAAAAAAAAAAAAAATTAACAACAAAAAAAGTTTATTGTTGCCAGTGCCACATAACTTTTCATGGGCTCTAGGCACTTTTGCCTAAATAACTAGTTATCAAAGATAACTCCCAAGTTTTTGGCATGAAGAGCTGGGAGATGCAATTTACTTAGATGGCAAAGCCTGGGAGGAGCAGGTTTGGAGAGGGTGTGTGGGCTCTGTTATGGCCCTATTAGGTTTGAGCTATCTACTAGTCCAGTGCTTCTCAGATTTTAACGTGCTTACAAATCACCTGGACAATTTGTTAAAAATCAAATTCAAATTCAGTAGGACTGGAGTGAGACCTGAGATTCTGTATTTCTTCTGGTTTGGATCATTAAAATGGACTGATACCTGAAAATTAAGAAGACCATTGAATTAAATTGACTATTGGAGGCAATAGATTTCAGAAAGTTCAGAGAAAAGCCAAATAAGATAGGGATGTATGGGAGAGGGAGAGATTTTTCAGTTACTGAGCATCTAAGATATCCCCATGTTATGACAAACACATAACAAACTAGCTTATTCATCCTCACAGTGACCCTACAAGGTTGATGTGATCATTCTCGTTTTTAGATAATGACCCCAAGGCTCAGAAACAAGAAATACCTTACCCAAGGGCACGTAGTAAGCAAGTAGCAGAGCTATAGACACAGAGTTATCTGTCGATCCCATCTTCTTTCCAATTTCCCAGAGATTTCTTTAAAAATAAAGAAAATCGGCCGGGCTCGGCTCGGTGGCTCACGCCTGTAATCCTAGCACTCTGGGAGGCCGAGGCGGGTGGATTGTGTGAGCTCAGGAGTTCGAGACCAGCCTGAGCAAGGGCGAGACCCCGTGTCTACCAAAAATAGAAAGAAATTAATTTGACAGCTAAAAATATATATAGAAAAAATTAGCCGGGCATGGTGGCACATGCCTGTAGTCCCATTTACTCGGGAGGCTGAGGCAGGAGGATTGCTTGAGCCCAGGAGTTTGAGGTTGCTGTGAGCTAGGCTGACGCCACGGCACTCTACCCAGGGCAACAGAGTGAGACTCTGTCTCAAAAAAAAAATAAATAAATAAAGATTATAGGCAAAGCGGGAGCTCAGGGGGCTCAGACCTCTCCGTTGGTCTCAAAAGCCCCGAATGAGGTCTTACATGGTAACTTATAGGAAATAGTGAACAATTGTCAGGGGTAACAGATTTACATAACAACAGGTAGTTCCTCTCAGGTTAACAGATTTTCAAAATGCTTTTACAGAAGGCTTCTACAGATTCTTTAACTAATTCTATTTACGTGGGCAAATGGTTACAAAGTCTTTCAAAGGTTAATTTCCAAATTCTAAGGTAAGTTTATCATTTAAACAGAGGGGTTAAACGGAGATATGTAAGCTCCATATTTATTAGATTATTGTGAATGGAGACAGGTAGTGTAGAGTGGTTTAAACAAAAGCTTTGCTTTTAGCCATTCGGGAAGCTGTCGTTTGTGGGAAGCTGTTTGTTCAGGAGGGCACTCCATTGTCAGCTCTCAGCCTATAGTTTTTAACAGATTCACTTGTGCTTTACAAAGCAAATCCAATTCTTTAGGTCTGAGAAACGCAGCGCCTCATGGGATACAGCCGCTACTGCCTTTCAGAGATGCCCTTCCTAGTGTAGCAGCATTTGAAATGCAAACCAATACGTTCACATGTTCTTTCAGGGCAAAGCTCTGTAAAACTCTTAAGACAAATCCTGTCCCAAAACACGTTTAATACTAATTCATGGAGCGACACTTCAACCCCAAATTACTGGTCCAAACTTATTTACTACTGACCTCCCTTGTCTGCTTATATTCACTTTGCACTTTCCTAACTTCGAGTCTTTTTTTTTCCCCCTTTGCTCTTCCTTCGACCTGGAATATTCTTTCCTTCTTCACTATCAAATGAGTCAACAATAAAATCCTTCAAGGGCTCTTCAAATGTCCCCTTTTCCAGGAGGCTTTTCCTTTCTTTGAACCTCTCCAGGACTGTTGCCTGCACCTTCTGTTTGGCACGTGTCACCTTCCTCCTTGAATTGTCTTCCTTCCTGGTCTATCAGCTCCTTAGGGGCAGGATCCATGTTAGTTTTCCTTGTGCTTTCCACTCATTAGCATCTGGAACATTGCTGGTGCTCAGTACAGATTTGTTGGTGCTAAAAGTCAGCCTTTCAAGAAATACGCATTGATTGAAGAGGTTTTCAGGGTGTTGTCATAGTGCATGTTAACTTATGTTTGAATTCATTTAGTGTTAATTGAACTGGAAAATGTACCCCTTAAAAACAATGGTTTCAAGATACGGGAACCTAAATGTCAACTGACAGATAAATGGATAAGGAAAATGTGGTACAGTCATGTGCTGCATAATGACATTTTGGTCAACAACAGACTATATACGCAAAGGTGGTCTCATAAGATTATAATACCTGGTTTTTACTGTACCTTTTCTCTGTGAGAATTATCGAATGATGGATTAGAAAGTTTTTGGTAGGTTGAAAAACATGACCAAAATATTTTGCAGCTCCTTCATCAAAAGGTGGAATCTTTTTCCTACTCCTTAAATTTAGAATTGCCTTGTGACTTGCTCTAGCTAACAAATATGTTGGAAGTGACAATGTATGATTTCTGGAGCCTAGACTTCTGAAGACCTTGCAGCTTCCACTTTCACTTTCTTGGAATCTGCTGGTACCAGCTAAGGAACCCAGGCTATTCTGCTAGAGAGCCACATGGAAGAGAACTAAGGTGCCTTGGCTGACAACCCCAGCTAACTGCCAGATATGTGAATGAGGCCATCTTGAACTGTCATGGTCCATATGACTGCAGCCACATGAGCAGCTCCAGGTGAGACCAGCAGAACTGCCCAACTGAGCCCAGCTGAAATTGCAGAATTGTGAGCTAATAAATTGTTATTGTTTTAAGCCTCTAAGTCTTGGGGTGGTTTGTTATGTAGCAATAGCTAAACTGACACAGTGCTGTCTGTGCAGTCATAGGATGTCAGCTGTGTTT